GGCGCACAGCCCAGCCGCCTCGGGTCTTTCCGCTGGCCGCGTGCTCCGCGGCTTTGCTCTGCTCTGCTTTGCTCTGCTCTGCAGACCAGGGGGACGGGGAGCAAAGCAGAGCAAAGCCGCGGAGCACGTGGCCAGCTGACAGCCCAGACGTGTCTGGGCTGTCCGCTGCCCGCGTGTTCCGCCGCTTTGCTTCCTCTCCCTGGTCTGCTGGAGACCAGGGAGAGGGAGGGCCCCGTTCGTAACTGAGGATCCGACATAAGTCGGATCCGCGTAACTCGGGGACTGCCTGTACTTTGAAATAAGCTATTCCGGAAGATATCTTCCAGAGTAGCTTTTTCCGAAATAAGCTTGCAGCGTAGCTGTACCCTTACATAGTTTCTCTACATACATGCCAGATGGCGTTAATCAGTTCTTGGGGCACGTGTACATTGTCTGCTGTTTGTTTTAAATATTTGTACTGCTATAGACGTTTCAGTAGCAAGGAATTTAATTTAATCTTGGTTCTAGGTTGTGGCATGAATAACCATTCTGATCAATTACATTTCAGTAGCATTAAGTTAAACATTTTACAGAGTTATCATCTTTATATACATTACAGTAAGAACAAAAGCAAATGATTATTGAATACATCCTTTAAATTGCTGAAGATATATTGACATTTTATAAAATGGTATAATGAACCCATGAGGGATCACACCTTTTCTTTTTTAAATTTGGCTTGCTCTGTATATACTGATGAAGTTTTTAACTTTCTAAAAAAGGCAGACTAATGTATTTTGTCTGGTATCAAGGGAATTAAGGAATAATTAGATCATCACTTTTAGATGTTTCTTTAAATCATAACTTCAACCATTTAGGTAGGAATAAAGTAATACTGCACCAAACTTTGATCTTGAACTTGCCTTACAAAATTACTGTAATAAATATGTGGCAACAAACAATGGATCTGTTATGGATTGGCACTTATCTGTTGGATGTGAACTCCTATGAATGCAAGATGTTTGAGAACAAGCATTACAATACTCCCAACAGTAAGGCAATGTCCTAGCATGTGTCTGTAATGTTTCTTCTTCTTATTCAAATGTTTGTGATTATATTGCTCTTAAGTGGCTGTCCCTTAGAAGATACAGCAAGTCCTAATATTAATAATAGCTAACCAGATCTTCTAGCTCTTGGGCAAGGATCCAAATTCCATTGAAGCCAATGGTAGTTTTTCTTTTGACTTTAGTGGGCTTTGGACTTTTTGGGGTTTGTAAGTTTCTGGAAGCAGTTGTCTCAACTTCCAGGTTATATGGCTGATGCCACATGGATACATTTTAGCTGATGACCATAGTGCAGCGGTGGGGATGCTGGATGCAACCCCCAGCTTTCCTGGATCCAGCCCCCAAGGCTCAGGGCCCCCCCCCCCCAGCATTGGGGAGCCCATGCTGGTGCTCCAGCCCCACTTCTGAATGTGGGGAATGTCTTTCTTCTTCTCAGTCAGGGACCACAGTGAAGATTTTTTTCCTGATTCTCACTTGTGTGCAGCCCCCGACTGATTTTCCCCCCCTGTGGATTAGTGGCCCCCAACCCAAAAAAGGTTCCCCATCCCTGCCATAGTGTCTTGTTCCACAGTTTTGTTACAATAAGGAAAAATATTAACATCTGAGGGTTTCATACAATTAAGAAACTTAAGTTCTAATCTCTTCATTGCTCTAAACATCATTCAGATGGCTGTATTTCAAATGAGAAAGGAAAATATCACTGTGACCTGCAAAATATTACTAGGAGAATGTCTGTCTGTGAAAAAAGTAGCCAGCTTCCATGACTGCCAGTTCAGATGAGTCATGAAGCCATGTTTTAGTTTTTATTTCCAACTAAACAAAAGCCAGTACTTCTTAATACATCATGTTATTTGGCTTCGAATGTTATGTTCTCCAAGAGGAATGAAGTTTCACTTGACTGGCTTTGTATGCTTCGACTATTTTGTGGATTCAGTAGGTGTTTTCCATGAAGTATCATCACATTTTTCTTTAAAAGGCAGGGGGATGCACCTTAGACCAGGAATTCTCATCGTATGGGCTGTGGACTAGTGGTGGCTTGTAGAGCATGTTGTAATGGTACACAGAGAGCTGACTCCAGTGCTTAACTGGTAATGAAAGAGGTGCTGGTGTTCAAGCAATTTTTTTACTTTCACAACTGATGCCACAAGAGGTGCTGGAGTTATGAACTGTCATGCTTAGAGGTGCTGGGCTCAGCTCTCACAAGCCCTGGCACACATTAAGCACTAGTTGGCTGTAGGGATGTAAAATTTTGATTAGTCAGTAAGGGTGCTTCCGTCTTTGAAGTGTAGCAACAGCTCCAGACTCAAGAAGTCCCCCCGCTGACCCCGTCCTCCCCACTGCATTTCAAAGTGGCAGCACTGCATGGGGACTTAGAGTCCCCAGCTGACCCTGGGCTCCATGCAGTGCTGCCACTTTGAAACGCTGCAGGGAGCCCAGCATCAGGCTCTATGCAGCCATGTGGAGCCCAGGGTCAGTGTGGGAGTCCTCAGCTGGCCTTGGGCTACATGCGGCATTTCAAAGTGGCAGCACCACGTGGAGCTTGGGATCTGGCCCCAGGCTCCACGCAGTGCTGGCGCATTGAAGCACTCCCTCCTCTCTCTCGCCCCCTCCCCCTTCCTTGCTGCCTCTTTCTGATAGAGGCAGCAAGGGTGGGGAGGAAGCAACTAGTCGACTCGTTGTTCAGATCTCTAGTTGGCTGATCACAGGATGTTGGTTCTCCGTCTTTTTTCCAGCTTCTAAATTCCATGAAAAGAAGCTATGAAAATATTTAATGTATTATTACTATTACTTCTCCATGTATACAATTGCTGTCTGTAGCTGATATGAGACCAAGAATAAGGGAGGGAGGTGGTCCACCGAGCTATCTCTCTATTAAGAGGGGTTATAGCCTATGAACACCTTTAATAATCCTCTGTTCTAAACTACTTATTTGCTGTCATCCAGGTCATCTTTCACTGGCAAATCTGTGACGGACACTGATGTGAGAATTAAATATAATTATTTAACAAGCAGATTAATCAGCTGGATTAATTATTTGTGATAAAGTCAATTCATTGCTCCAGCTTTGCTCCCACTTCAGTTGTATTCATGAAACGCTATGCAGAGTTATAGTTTTGCTGGCAACTATAAAAGTTATATGTTAATAAAGCCAACATGTATCTAATATCTACACTTACTGTAACTTACTTAAAATGATAGTATCTATGTAAGCTTTTGCAGCTGTCTCTCCCCCAACACACACCCCATCTCAGGTTGTTCTGGAAATTGCTTGAATTGCATTCATAGGGGACTGGTTGGAATTAGACTGTTTTAGAAACAGTCTCTCTCCCTTGATGATCTTTTTCTTCTTCACTTTGGATGTCTCCTTTTTTCCCCTCCTTTATCTTGCTTTTCATGTGTTCATCATTCACTTGTTCATCTCTTTTTTTCTGTCTCTTGTTTTGGCGAGTTCTTGTTTAGTTTTTGTTCCTGAAAAAGAAGGGAAAAATTATTACAAAAATATCTAGTATAAAGAATGTTCCAGTTTCTTGAGTTTCTTAGGCTTTGAGGTTATTCTAAAAGTGATCTCTCAGGCATGAACTGCTCACAGAAAAGTGTGCTCATCAATGAGGGAATTTCCTGGAATTGCTATAGATGACCCAGACATAAAAGGGAAGGAAAATTCTGTCTCCTCTTAGTGGCTTTGGTATGCTCCTCCAGGAAGTGTTGAGCAGCCTGAAAAGGGGGAGGAGAGGAATGGCTGACCCAAACAAGTGTAACTTTTCACTTATGAAAGGAGCTGTACCAAAAACTTGATTTTTTCAGAGTTTTTCACTTATGAAAGGAGCTGTACCAAAAACTTGATTTTTCAGAGTTTTTCAGATTGTGCACCCAAAATTAGTGGATACTTTTACATTTTAATCTCTGTATTTTCATTCTCCATCTGTGAATCGGGGATACTAATACTCAGTCACTTAATGAGAATATTACTAAGATAAATTAATGTTTTTGAAACATTCAGTGTCACTACTATATTGTGGAGTAACAGTGAAAATTAATAACACTGACTTTAAAGTAGGGTTTGAATATTGTGCAGTAAATAAGGCATAGTGCCATACATTGAACAATATCAATAAAACAAAATACTGAATTGTTGCTCATTTACGAAGTACCATCTATTTTGTTCACTGAATGAGGTAGTAGTCCCAGGGAAAAAAATGTATGATCAAATAATTAAGACTACTATTGTGCACATGCTCAAAAGGGGTAAATTAAGGTTGTAGAGGCAACCTTAATTCTGGCATTTCCTAACTTTTGAGTGCTTTACTTTACTACTTTTGCAACCTTAATAATATGCTTTAACATATTGCTTTGTGAGTAATATATATTTACAGTAGTTCAGGTTGCTTAACTCTTTCCATTGTGATCCCGTTTTAAATTATCATTACTTTGACAGACTTTAAAAGCTTGGGGGCTGAAACTTGTCATGCTTGCTTTCTGCCTCAGGCTGAATATTTCTAGAAAGTTTCTGCAAAAAAGATATAGACATTTACAAGAATATGGCTTAGAGAAAAAAGTATTTTTCCTTTGCTCATTAATCAACTTTCTTTTCTTTTCTTTCTAGTTGTAGCATTCATAAATGAGGAGCAGAGACTTGAAACTTTGCAGAAGGCTGGTGCTTGGGCAAGAGATGTTCTTTTTGCTGTCCCAGGAAAATCCTCCTGGATTTGACTGAGTTATTACCCCCCCACCCCAAAATCGCCTTTTATACATGCTCAGTATTTATAAGCCTCACTAATGTTGAATGCAGAGACAACCTTTTGCTGCTGAGTTGCAGCTGTGCATTTTATCAAAGAAAATGAGCTGCTAGCTATTTTGAACAGCTTGGCTACGTCTACATTGGCCCCTATTCCGTAATAGGGATGCTAATGTAGCACTTGGGAATAGGCAAATCTGCGGGGGATTTAAATATCCCCCGTGGGATTTGCATTTTCATGGCTGCCGCTTTTTTCTGGCTTGTAGATAAGCCGGAGAAAAGCGCCAGTCTGGACGCGATCCTCCGGAAAATAAGCTCTTTTCCGGAGGATCTCTTATTCCCACTTAAAGAGCTTATTTTCCGGAAGATCGCATCCAGACTGGCGCTTTTCTCCGGCTTATCTACAAGCCAGAAAAAAGCGGCAGCCATGAAAATGCAAATCCTGCGGGGGATATTTAAATCCCCCGCAGATTTGCCTATTCCCAAGTGCTACATTAGCATCCCTATTACGGAATAGGGGCCAATGTAGACGTAGCCCTTATGTTCTGTGAAATTTAACTATATTATACTTTTGTCACCTCAAAATCTTTCACTATTGAGTCATTTAAAAAAATTTTGTAGTAGCATTAGGGTATCTCTCTAGTGGAACATTGAATTGGTGCCTTTTTCTATAACAGAGAGGATTACAATACAGTGGTGGACAAAGTAATTCCTAATTGCTTAATTTCTACAGTCATTAAATGAAGTTTGAAGAGTCCGTTGGGATCCATTTTGATGAATGGTGCTGTATAAACATAAAATCACTTAGTCTGTACCTTCTTGCTAGTTGTAATGTTGAGCCAGCTAGAGCAAATATGCAGCAAAACACACAAAATTTAGTAGTTAAGAACCTCCTCCCCCAAAAAATCCAGGTTACCTTTTGATTCTGCAGTTTACAACATCCACGAGGATATCTTGAAATGTTGTTCATGTATTTTTCCACCCTTTGCCAGTCTTCCTGCCACGTCTGAATTTGATACTGAGGCTCACACTTTGTAATCCTATCCAGAATGGCATGGTTTTCTTGGCTCACTCTCAGTAGTTCCCTCTCTCGCTTTTCCCTGTTTAAACTGGAGGGGGGAACACATACAAAGAAAAATCAAGCTTCCGTCCAGTCATGAGTGTGCATGAAGAATTTGTGGATCAAAGCTGCAACTTCAGTGTTTGAAACCACTCTAAATCTTTTGTGAGGATACCTTCTGAAGCTATTATACTTCTCCTAACAGGAGTTTCTTCTCCCTGCTTCATATTAACAAGCTCTCACAACTCATCCCTTTGTTCTTCTGAAGGAGATACATTTTGCCTCTCAGATGAGACCTTCAGATTTGAGATTCTGTGTACTTTTAATAAAATCCTAGCCCTAATCTTATTTTGTCCTAAAACCAGTCTTCCAGACCCTGAGCTATCTTTGTTGCTATGCTCAGAGAGAGGGTGTGCCTGGCTACTGAGGTGTTTAGGAAACAATCATTTTAGACATCTGGCATTAGTCCTCTGTTTTCCGGTTTTTGAAGGAAAATGTCTTGCCCTAATTTCAGATATAAACCAGATCCGTTTGCTGTGAGGGAAAGTGAAGAGATGTATCTGGTCAAAAGTTCTTCACAAATGTTTCATGACTGGTTAGTGCCAGAGTTAAATGACATGCATTGATGTCAAGGGAGCTACAGTGATAAGAATGTTATAAAGCAGGGGGCGTGGCCATTCGCCTGCCGGACGCCAGAGGGCGGGGACACTTACGCGCCCGGGGGCAAGACCCCCCCCATAGCCGCACGCCCAGGGCCAGTGCCCCCCCCAAGCGCCGTGCACCCGGGGCCGGTGCCCCCTCCAAGCACCACGCACCCAGGGCTGGCGCTCCCCCCCCAAGCATTGTGCTCCCGGGGCCAGCACCCCCTCCAAGCGCCGCTTGCCCGGGGCTGGCGCTCCCTTCAAGCGCCGCGCACCCAGAGCAATCTGCGGCACTCTCGGGGCCAGCGCTCACCGTGCGCCAAGCGCCCGGGGCCGGCTCTGGCACCATGCATGTGCCACGTGCCCAGGGCCAAGCCAGTCCCGAGCACTTGGCGGGTGCACATAAATGCACCGTGTTGGGGACCACTGTTATAAAGCATGTTAATTTTCATTAAATATTGTAGTATGTGTGTGTATAATAAAATGCTCATGAGGATATGTATATCCATTAACTCAGGTTCAACAGTATTTCAAATTATTCCTCATATAGTTTTTATTTTTTTATGGGACCATGCTGAAGTTGGAATACTCCCTGTTACAAAGCAATTGCAATTCTGGATTCCACCTGGATTTCCTGAACTACTGAACTGCACCTTGTGTCTTCATACGCGCTGGGCCCTGATGAACTGTCATTCTGTCATTAACCAATTTGTCTGTAAATCAGCATTTCTTAAAGCGTGTTAAATGGCACACCGGTGTGCTACGAGGCAGTTGGAGGTGTGACGCAGAGAACAGAGTTCAAAATGGCTGCCCTTAAAAGGGCAATACCTGCTCTCCTGATAAAAGGGCAAATTGTTTTTCGTTTGTTTGTTTTTGCTTAACTTCTTTTCCCTGTCCTTTTTTGTTTGTTCTGCGCAACAACTTTTCCCTGGGGGACTTTTTTTTTTGTCAACAACTTTTCCCTTGGGAATGGCCGCCCTTAAAGGGACAAACCTCTTTTTTTTTTTTTTTTTTTGGCTCATCAAAAAAATCCTTGTTGTTCCCCATATTGTTTGGTGTTCCTCAGTCTTAAAAAGTTTAAGAAACACTGCTGTAAATGAATCATGAATATTTACAAATGACACTTGACTTGCACAAACATTCGCATGGCAGATTTGGGTGTCCTTGCTTCGCTTCAGAATTCCCTTCTTACCAGTGATCACGCATTATTTTGCTATACTTCATTAAGAATATGAATTCCCCTTGGCGTTAAAATGGTATAAACAGCTACTCTCTTGTGAGAATTTTCAGAGTGTCTTACGCATTCTCCCTTGAGCAATGACTAAAGTCTCAGTTTACTTACACAATATAGTTACTGTACAATGTTCATTTTGTTGTTCTTATTTCATCTCAATGCTTTGGACCTGTGTCTTTTCAGTGATATTTGTGGGAATGATTGGAAAAGCAATGTAAGTAACTCTAGAGGGCACGTTTACACTGCAGGGCAAAAGTCAAATTAAGCTACACAATTTCAGCTACGTCAATTGCATAGCTGAAATCAAAATAGCTTAATTTGGCATTTGGCGCTGTCTACACAGCAGGAAGTCAAAGGAAGAACACTCTTCCTTCAACTTCCCTTACTTCTTGTGAAATGAGGATTACAGGAGTCAGAGTAAGAGTCCTCCCTCTTGCCATTATTTCGAAATAACGGCTTGCTGTGTAGACATGCTCTTTGTTATTTCAGAATAATGTTGTTGTGTTGACATAGTCTCAGTCAACAACAACAATGTAGTGGGTACATGATAATTGCATTTATTTCCTCTAAACTAAGT